ACACGAAAAGAGAAAAGATGCAGTGACAGAGTCAGCTACAGAACGAGACAAACGGAGTGGTGGATGTGAAGCATCGACCAGGGCTGGGCAAGTCGCCAGGGGCTACCCCCCACCCGCTCCCCCTCTTCCAACAGCTGATTACAGCTGTTGCAGGCTTGGTTTGACATCCGGATGAAAAGCAAGGCTAACTGCAGCCCGGCAAGACGCCGCGGGATTCATCTCTCCATCCGGGGCCTGGGACAGAAACACGGCCAGCTCCAGATTACGCTTGCTAATGGGAGCGAGGGAGAGCGTGGCTGAACTAGCAAGGGCACCACAGGATGGGAAAACCCTGGGGTCCCCACCTCCTGCTTTCCCACAAAGGACCCCGGGGCAGAAGGGAGTCAATCTGCCCTGCTCTTCTCAAGACCTCCTGAGCAGGTGAGCAGGGCGCTGCACACACCCACTCCTCACCTTGGGGAAATCCAGCCCCAGGCCTGGCCCCAGCCCTCTCGCTATAGTCAAAGACATTTCTCTTGTTTCCTAGCTCCATCTATGAAAGAACAGCTGTTCACTGACCTCAGGATGAGAGCCACTGCTCACCCCTCTTTTTCCCATTCTGAAAAGAATCCATAAATAATCTAATTCTGGTCCCATCCCTGCTACTAACTCACCACAGCTTTTGGAAATGTCAATTTGCCCTCCCTGAGTGTCCAAAACATGTTTTGAATCTAACAGGCACATCCATCTGATCAAGGATCTAGGGGAAGATTAACCAGAGATATGTACAGAGAACTCCACTTGAAAATACCTCTGGGCTCCTAGGCAAAGGCTGCTTTCTGGAATAGCACTGCAAACCCGCCACACGAGAGAACAGTACAATTTACTTAGACATCTGTTTACGCTTCTCTTTCCGGAAGCTAACTTTAAAAAACTGTATCCTACAGGAGTAAGAGCTAAATTTTACACTGATGCACACATACATACAGGGCCCAGAAATAAGTAATATTGAGTATATCACTATCACACAAACAACACTCACCCTTTCTGTGTTCAATACGCTGGGGTTTTCCTATTCTGTCCTGCCTGGTCCTATCCTGTTCTATTCTATAAAATGCTAACAATGATTCATTACAGTGATTTCATGACTCACTGATGAATAATTTGAAAAACAGTAATTCTAGGGATCCATCAGTGGTTGGTTGTGTCTATTTAGATATAATTTCGTTTCGTAATTTTCCCCGTATATTCCCCGCTATCTCTGACTTCCTCTTGACCCTTCTCCTTCCCACTCCTCTTAACCTCAGATGTCTCATTTTGTTTATGATTATCCACTGGTTTTTGTGAAGTGTTTTTGCTTAAAAGCTCCAAATGATCCACTTTGTAAATGTCCAAATATTTTTTTGTCATGCTGAGTTGCTCTGTCACACATAGTTCCCTTGAACTCCTTCCAATGTGTTGTAAGTGGCAAAACATTGTCTTTCCTTATGGCTGGGTAATATTCCATTGTTTGGCTATACCACATCTTTTTGATCCTTTTTGCACATTTATGTTGCTTCCATGTCCTACCGAAATAGTGTTGCAATAAACACTGTGCAGCCTGTGTTCTCAAGTTCATGGTCTTATGTCGTTTGGTTAAATAGCCGGGAGGGGGTTGATTGGGTCATAGAGTAAACTGTACCAGTTTATATTTATTTCCACCAGTAGTGTAACCAGGTTCGTCTTTCTCAGCATCCTTTTAATGTGGACCATTCTCACACACATGAGGTGATGATAGCTTCACTATTGTTTTAACCTGCACTTCTCAATCAAAGCAATGGCCGACATTTTTCTCATGTCTCTACTGGCCTTCAGATACCCTCTTTGGTAAATTGCCTACCCAGATTTTCTGCCTCTTAACCGGATTGTTTTTCTATTGCTGAATTGTATATATCAACTATATCATAAAATGTCTTATAATATCGGAGGCCTATATAGTTATATAGACACTAATCCCATATTGGTAATGCACTGTATAAATATTTTCCCCCATCCGAGGCTGTCCTAAATCTATTTACATTTTCTGACCTTCCCTGGTGGCTAAATGAGCACAGCACTATGAAGCTATCTGCAGCCACTGCAGCACGAGTTTGATCCCCAGCTGGGGAGGTGACCCACATGGCACAGCAGACCTCTCCTGACCCTCCCACTGCTCCCCTCAGCAGTGTACCTCATCAATCTGCCTGTTCTGCTCTGCACTGTGTCTTTGGTGAAAACTCTCCCCTGCCCCCACCCTCACCCATTCCTGCACCTCTGGCCTATATACCTCAGTTCTTGTATGAATAAATAAATAAAATCTTAAAGAAAATCCATTTAGATTTTCATTCATTGTACAAAAGCTTTTTAAATAGAGGTAGTCTTGATTTTTTTGTTTTTGCTTTTATTTTTCCTTACCACTGAAGCTGAATCTCCAAAACACCTTTATCACCAATGTCACAAAACACATTTCCAATGTTTTCTTCTATATATTATATTACTGCAGGTCCCATGTCAAAATCTTTCATCCATTTGCAATTTATTTTTGTGCATGAGATTAGAGAATGATCCAACTTTCATTCTTTTGCATATAATATTCTAGTTTTCCTAGCATGTTAGACCCTTCTTTCCCCATTATCTGGTCAAGCCTGCTTTGTGATAAATTGAGTATTAATATGTATGTATATTTACTTGTAGATGTTTTTATTCATTCCATTGATCCATGTGTCTATTTTAATGCCAATACCACATTGGCTTTAGCACTGTTGCTTTACATTATTGTTTAAGGCCAGGTAATGTGATACCTCCATTTCTCTCTTTATTCTCAAGAATGCTCTTACTAGCCAAGATCTTTTATAGTTCCAGATACATTTCAGGATTTTTTTGTTCAATTTCTTTGAAGAATATTGTTGGTATTTTGATGGGTATTGTGTTAAATTTATACATCTTCTTAGGCAGGATAATCATTTTGATTGTACTGATTCTCCATAAACATTGGATGTCTTCCCATCCCCCAGATTTCATAGTTTTAAATATTTCATCCTAAAAAGTCAGGTTAATTGAGTTCTTATTGAATAACTAAGAAGACTAATTAAAGAGGAGATGTTAAAACTTTAAGGCTATATAGAAATGCCCACAAAGACAGAGCAACTGACGGGCTCCACTGTGCCTGTCATTGTGAGAACGACAGGGGTGGGTGCTGAGAAGAATCTCTCTTGTTCCTTTTTTGCCCATATGTAGTATGTATATAGAATTACTTTTATAATTAAAAAGTTCATGGCTTCAAGAAAAGGTGTCATTAATGACAATTTTCTTTTGATGTAAATACATTTTTATACTAAGAGTTGAGGCACTAAACTGTAGTGTCAACTGGGATGGACTCACACACCATCTGTAGAGCTGGGACAAAAGTCAGCACTCAAGTGAAGCTTTAAAATGACATTAATATTTTCTCTAGATGGTTTTAACATGGACAAGTCACATTGGTTGAGCTGAACTTCTACATTATCTAGATTATCAACATTAACCCAAAGCTATTTCACTATTATAAAACAAACACATGAAGATACATTAAAGACCCTACCAGTTCATTTTATGTTAATACGTTTGAAAAAAATCTAAGGAAGATTTGCATAGATGTAGCACCCTGGTTCTGCTCTAGGTCAGTGTCTGCAAGGGGGGGCCAGCATTGGGAAGAGGTGGGACAGAGCTGGAAAGGTTACCTCTGGAGAGATAATGCTTAGAAGTTTTATAAGACTAGATTAATACTTAATTTTTTAAGCAGAGAAGAATTCTTGGAGAATATTTATTTCAGATCCCATTTTTACAGATGGAGAAACTGAGGTACAGAAAAGGAAGAGAGACACCTGGCTCAGCTGCTCTTACCATCCTTACTCAGAGGCGATCAGAGATGCTGACATCCACCACACTTCACCCCCACACAACATCACTGTAGGCAAGAAAGATGCCTAAATAACAGGCTTGGGTGGTTCTTCAACAGTCAGGAACAGTTTTCTTTCTTAAAAGGAGGTTTTGGTTACACTGCAAATCGATTACTAAATGTCTTTCTCAACTCCAAATAGTGGTACTAAAAAAATATATATTAATAGTCCCAGTGGAGACTAATGTCATATTAACATGGAATGTAATTATAAACAGTATGTTCATACCATGTGAGCTACTTAAAACTGCCTCTAAATTGGCCTTCAGCTAGGGGACAGGGTACAGGCAATTAGGAATTAATGAGAACCATGTTAATCCAGGGCTTGGTTAAGATCAGGAAAGGCAACACCCAGAAAAGCTGATTCTCCCTTTGGTTTTAGGCGCACAGGAGAGGCAGCCACGGGCTGAAGGGAGCTCGTCTCTTCAGAGGCTTTCCCAGGACTTAGTGATGTGAAAGAACTTAGGCCCTGCAGGAAAAACTGGCAGGAGTCACCCAGGAATGTTGTTCCTTCATGCTCAGCAGCTCTAGACAGACCCACTGGGTTGCCTGGGTCCAGGTAGGTCCCCCCAGCTCTGGACTGCAGGCCCTGCCCACTGACCTCTCTTCCAGCTGAATCAGGAGCCAGAGGCTGCATGCACCCTTCGGGACGTGGTAGCCCCAACCCTGTCCAGCGGTCACTAGTCACGCCTGCAGACTGACGTCACGGGAGCAGAGAGCTGGCCGAGGCAAATGCTGCTTCAAAAATGCTGGGAATGCATCTCAAATGGCAGCGGAGACTTATCCTGACTTCTGTTGCTATTTTTAAGATACCTCTATCCCTGGCGAGGCCGTTGGAGTCCGAGACCTCGGTTTGATTTGACCACATTTATCTCCAGAGGTCACTGAAAGCTAAGAATAAGAAGGGTCATCTAGTTCCCAACACTATTTGCCAGAAAACTAGGGCAAACTTAATTTCCCACCAAGGAAGCAATTTTGAAAACTGGGATTCGGTACAGAGGGTTTCTCTCTCTCTCTCTTTCTTTTTCTTTCTCTCTCCTTCTCCCTTTCTTTCCTCCCTTCCTTGACTTCTATTTCTTAAAGACACAGCAAGCACCACTTGAGCCATGTATACTAAAGCCTGGCCTGGAAATACATTAGATCATGCCTTATTTTCTCAATCTCCAGAGACTTTGGCGACCAAGTCAGGGTCACCCAGCATGATGAATGGGGTCCATGAGGCAAAGCTTTCCATCAATGGTTTGTAGCCACCAGGGAAAAGCAGCCTCTCAAGTGCACCTTCCGGGTGCATAGGGAAATGTGTCACATATAAATGACAGGCAGGTTGCAGCTGCCCACACTTGACAGCAAGGCATCTCTTTATTTTAAATGTCGCTCTAACCTGCACACTGCAGCCAGAGATATCACCAGTGAAAAGCTGACCACATCCTTGTTCTCTTAACTCCCTCAGTAGGTCCCCATCACTCCAAGAGAAGCCCCATGCATCCAACATGGCCAACAGCTCTTCTTGGTTTTGCCTCTCATAGTTGACGCCCCCTAGACCACCAGGCGAGAGCACATCATCCCTCACTGCAGCTCTGGGCCGTATCTCAAGACTGGACCAGTCTATGGCACTGGACTGCAGCTCTGCACTGGCCACGGGCATGGGCAGCCCCTCTGCAGAGGGCAAGTTCTTCTTCGACTGTGGATTCTCCCCTTCTCCCACTCCACACACCAAGCAGACCGACCTGGTCATGAGCATGAGGAGTTTTAATAAGTTTCCCTCTCTGGCTGCTCTGTTCATTCTTCATGTTCCACCTCCCTTGAAGCTTCCCCTGAACACACAAAGCCTCATCACATACGTGGCCTCCTTCCTTGGGGCCCTTGGAGCTCATTTCTCTATCACAAGTTATTAAACCTTCAGCTGTGGTTGGTTCCTTATTGTATCACCAATGTCAGATCTATAGTAACATCTCAGAATAGTTGCATAAAGAACTTGTAACCCTCACTGGTACCAAGTAAGGAAAAAATAACAGATGTTCCAAAAACCCTATTGGCTTAATCCTGCAATGACCTATCTTCTATGGATACATCGCCTTGCCTTACATACAGCAAACACCTATAATTCTGCCGTGTAGTGGCAGAATTTTTCTTAAGGGCCACCCTTCAGCCTATGTGCATGGAAACAGGGAAGATTACTGGGTCTGGAAAGTTAGTGCCTCTGAAGGCAGACACAAGAAAGCAGCACCATGTACACTAATGATGCCTGGAATCATACCTGTCATTGTGTTTGAGTGGTGCCCATTCATCTTTACTTCCCACTAGGAAATTACCTCTTCTTCCAAGATCACTTGCTTCAGATAGAGCTGTCAACTGTAGCTTGAGACTATAGTCAACACTGGTGTAGAATTGGAAGACAGGGGAAAACTTACTTGTAGCAGGCCTGAGGGAACAGGGCCTGCCTAAAGTTAAGCCAACCCTCGACTTCCCATGCAGGGGACATGAATCCAGTTTAAGCCACTAATGCATATGGAAAGCACAGCCAATGCTTATATGTGTTGGAAGATCTGACAGTCAAGGTCAAAGTCAAAACCTTTGGTTCTCTGGACAGACATGTACTTCTAGACCAACTAAAGAGACACAAACTGTCACACTGGCCTTGTATATCAGACTGTGGGTCTGAGGTAAGCAACCACCTCACAACGGCCTGATGCCAGAGTTTCTCCAGCAGAGAAGGAAGAGACATGCCTGAGGCTTCCATCGCTGCAAACGCAATTGCTTCCTCGATGGAGCTTTTTTGTTAAGACACTGTTGGGTATGGCCCAGGAAAGTTCCACATTTTCCTAATAATGTGGAACTACTAGGTTATGGCTGCTATTACAGCAACTGTTCTGTTTTTCAAATATTTGAGGTGTGATCTTTGATCAAGTCCTTTATGGGGCCGATCATGTAGCCAGGGTACATAAAGGTTGAAGAATGTCTTCCTTTCTGTGCTCTGTCCTTGTCTTTTGGGTAAATAGTGGAGAATTCTCTGTTCCTTGGCTTTAATGAACGTTGTCCTGATTGTTCTCAATCATGTCTCTAACTTGGACCTCTCTGGTATTCCAGCCTGGTGAATATAGGAGTTAGGTGGAAGTAGTTCCTAGATTTCCTACCATCATTTTAAATGCAACGTGGCTGAAATTAAATTCATCACATGGACCATGGAGATTCTCCCAGCATCTCACCAACATGTCAACAGAATCACAGTTTTTAGTCTTCTGATTTCAGCCCAAACTTGGGAGATATCCTAAACTCTCATGTCTCTTGTCACCAATATATTAGATAAAAATAAGTCATTTTCTCTATTCATCTTGATTCTCTCTCCTCCCTGGATTGTGCCCATCACAGTCCATGTCTGAACCCTTCCTCAGGTCCCCCAATTCCAGTTAACCTTCCTTTGAGAACAGATCAATTTCCCTATCATTTTTTATCCTATCAGTTTTATCCTATTTCCCTGGCACTGAAAAATCAGTAGCTTTCTACTGTATGACATTAAAATTTTTTAAATTCCAGGTTTCCTCATTGTCTATTTCAGCCTACCTGCTCAAATTCAACAGTGTTGGCTTATACTACCCCAGGAGTTTCTACATATATAGTATTCCTTACATTATTCTCAACTATCATCTCCCAAGAACTCTCTTTTTTCTACATTGCTGAGCTCAAAAGTATTATATGACGGCCCTCCCTGGTGGTGCAGTGGGTTAAAGCACAACACTAAGAAGCTTAAGCCACTTCCGCATGAGTTTGATCCCCGCCTGCCCCGGAGGAGATCCACATGGCACAGCAGACCTCTCCTGACCCACCCGCTGCTCCCCTCAGCAGTGTACTTCGTCCATCTGCCTGTTCTGCTCCCCACTCTGTCTCTGGTGAAGCCTCTCACTGCCCCTGAGCCTCTGGCCTGTACCCCAGTTCTGTATGTACAAATAAATAAATCTCTAAAAAAAAAAAAAAGAAGTATTATATGACACCTCAAATTTGCTGAGCTCCAAAGTATTATATGACACTCCCATGACGTTGCCTGTGCTAACTCCTCATCTAGAATACTCTGGATGTGTATCATACAACACCTCAGGACACCTCTAGGGAGCCTGGCCCTGCTCATCTCTGACTCCCCACAACACTCATGGTCTGTGCTAAATATAACCACTAAATAATTGTCTGTGTCCTGTCCCATCTGCTTATCTTTCCAACCAGACCATTTAAAAACTCCTTGATGGGAAAGATGAGGCTATATACTCACTGATCCACAGTAGATAGCAAAAGGCATTCAATAGTATTTGTTCATTCATCAAAATGATGTCTAGTGATGCAGAGAGGTAGGAGACAGAGGGAAAGGAGAATGATATCAGTTTAGAGCACCCAGATAATTACACGCATCCACCACTTCTGGTCCTCTACTGCTCTCCTCCTTCAGGTTACTTTACCTGCAGAACTGAACCTCCTGGTCAAACTGTGAGCTTTCAGGCTGCGTTCCCTCCTTCAGCTGGCTGACGTTGAAAAAGGAGAGGGTGTGGTTGACAAAGCCATGCAGTGTCCCGTTGTTACTGTAGGAGTACTGGTATACCAGACGCGGGATGAAGTCAGAGGTGACGGCAATGACAAAGGCCTGAGGGTCAAAGCCACGGGCATTAGAGGAGGCTCCAGGTGACACGGAGTCCATCTGGCTGAGTGTCCCTTTGCTGTCCCCATCAGAGGCACTGCTCTGACTGACCCAGAAGCTCACGCAGCTCATTCCCTGTGTGTCCACGCACCACACGTGTAAGCAAGCCCACCATGCCATGGCTGCCAGGAGAGTAAAAGACAATAGTGGGTGCCAAGCCAGGGTGGGCCATTGTTGCTGGGAAGATTAGCTCACCTCACCTCCATGGTATCTGAATTGATGAGCTGGCTAAGCCACAACAGGATGCAAGATTTTTTGAGAAAATTACCACTAAGGATGAGAACACCACTTGAGGGCAATGGGCACAGACTCCAACGACCGTGTCCACCTTCTCCTAGTGACACCAGGAAGCCAGGAAGATTGAGGACACAGGCCCACAGCTCTAACCTGACTGACATCTCTTGACACGTTTTAGCACATCCTCTAATGGAGGCTGTTCTTTCGTCCATTTTACTTTGGAACAGGAACATCAATGGGAAGGATCGGGCCCCGCTGGATGGAGTCACTGTGCCCAGCCAGCATCTGGCCTATTTAAGCACTCTATAAATGTCCACGGAGCCGACCAAACGACAAATGAATGATTGCATGTTTGACTGTGGAGGTACTTTCTGCAAAGAAAATCTTAAATCTTTTTGGCAGCTGTTTATACTGTATTCTGCACCCATAACTCAAGCCCCTTTTAAAAGTATGGCTTGGGTATTGTTTTCTAAATGTATACGTGAGTGTAGATGGCCATAACCATATTTGACAATGAGATACATACCCACCATAATCAAAGCTATAATTTTCTGAGTACTTGCTACAGGTTCTTTCATCAGCCCACCTAATTTCTAGGGTGATCCTACGAGGTGAATATTGCTCTTACTCCCACCCACTTTTATAGGTAAGTCTGAGAGAGCCTAGGGAAATAGAACTTCCTGTCATTCCACTGGTTTGGTGGAAACTGCTCAGCACTTGGGGCCTCTTTCCAGTAGACACAACTCCGAAGTAGCGCCTGATCTCTTTTCCAAACTGCACTTTAGTTCTCAGCTGCGAGATGTGTACCTCCTAATCAAACATGCGGAAGTGCAATGGGCCCATCCTCTCTGCTCCTCCTCCCAGCTCTCCAGCCTGCACATGTTCTAGGTAGGGGACCAGTCTCCACAAGGAAAGTGGGCTTTCTGGGTAGGCCCCAGCCGGTTGGCTTTTCTAGGTATATGGACGAGGAGGCCCCGCCTGGCCACCCTCCACATGGAACGTACAAGCCAGAGCTGCTGCTGGCGCGGGCCCGGCAGGATTTCCTCTGACATGTGGACATGTCTGGCAAGACACTTAAGGAGGTCGCAAGAGGTGGGACTCCTCTTCTTCCATGTCCTATCTTAACCTACACAGTGGCAGAGTCCAAGACCTAATGAAGACTTCTCATTGACAACTTAGAGGAACCGTAATTAGGAATTACAGCCTGGCAAGGCGCCAAGTATTGTTTAGCATGGGAGTCAAGCGCACAAGGAAAGAGATGGGTAGATACGTGGAATTCTTTCCTCATTATTCTTGGCTCTGAGAAAAGATCTGATTTTGATTCTTAAGGCCCAGGTATGCATCCTGGTGGATAATTACCTTTCTTTCTCTTGGTGAAATTAGCAATAAAGAGGCCCACCTCTGGTGACAGGATACTGAGCGGGGAGGCACGCGTGTGCGATTTACCAGGGGGTTGTCTCAAATAATGGTCCAGATGGAAAAGGCTGGGAGGTACAAGGGCCAGTTTCTCTCTGTGGTGGCTGCAGCTCCTCTAGAGAGAACCTCCCATAGTGTCGGACATGAGGAACAGAAGCACTTACATTGATGATAACAGAGAACTTGCCGATTCCGGAGAGAATGTCAAACCAAATCCCTGTAAGACAAGAAAGAGGGGTGTCTGACTCAGGGTGACGACTGGCAGGCAAGTTACCTGGGGGCTCCCAGGAACGGGCTTGTCTGGAAAGGCTTAGGAGCCCCTCTTGTCTAAAGCCAGAGGGAGACAACTGGGGATGGAAAATGAGGCTCCCCAGACCTCCCAGCCCCTGAGCAGATGCAGATGGGTAGCTCAAAGGGGTGAAGAGGCGAGGGCCTCCTGCCCAGCCCTCTTACTTAACTCCTGACATCATGAGGGTGGCGGGGGCTGGGATAGACAGAGGGGCAGCGGGTGCAGAGCGTGGGGGGTACTCAGCAGGGGCCATACCGATGTCTTTGGTCCTCACGGCATCCGGCCGTCTCAGCTCAGTCACAAACTTCTTTGCATCTAGCCGCACCTCGATGACATTATTGAGAAGGGCGAAGACAGGGGCCAGAGGAAAAGAGGCCACGAACAGGGTGACAAAGCCGAACTGGATGACTAGGAGAGAGAAGAGCAGCCGTGAGAGCCCCCCGCAGGGAGAGGCAGGGTGAGCGCGCTCCCACTGCTGGTCTTGTCCCCGGCCAGTCACTAATCCTGGTTGTGGGGCACAAAGGTGGACTATGTTCTCAGCACAGAGCCAGGGTAGGGTTGTATGTGCAGGCCACAGTTTGACGCCGTCCTGGTAGAGTGAAAGCAGCTACAGCAAAGTGATGACAAGCAGGCTTGGCCGTGTTCCCACAAAACTTTATTTACAAAAGCAGTAACGAGAGTAAGTGGGATTTGGCCCACCGGCCACAGTTTGCCACCCTTGGCAATTTAAAACTTAAAGAAATATTTCCCAAATATGGCCGCTCCTTTGCAGGGCTTACTGAGAGCTCACTAGATGTGCAGTACCCTGGATGGACGGAAGGAGGCAGAGGTCTGGTCCTGTCTCCCAGGAGCTAGTGTAGCAGGGAGGATGTGCAAGGGTTTGATGCGCATGGAAGGAAAAAATAATGCACTGGAGACTCTGGGCACTGAAGGGGAGGAGCTCAAACCTCTTTGGGGTGGGGCATAAGGGAAGTCTCCACATGAACACCTCAGTTTCCTGCCAGGAAGACTGGACTGAAGAGAGTAATCCAGGCTATGGCAGCAGCGTGGGCAAAGGCAAGGAGCCCACTGAAAGGCTGCAAGGAGACAGGTCCTCAACTCCCCCTGGACAACCACAGCCACAGTCTGACTGTCCTCGGCACCAGCGACCCCAAGCCTCCAGTCTACTCATCCCAGGGCCCAGCCGTCTGATCCCCTAACTTAGCTACCCATACAACTTTCTGTCGGCCCCCATCGCCCCCCACTCACCCCCGCTTACTGGATATAACTCAGGTTCCTCATCTCGGGAGACAGGGACTCTACACCTTCTCCTGATCTCCCACTCAGCCCCATCTTCTGTATCTCCCCTACACCATCACACTTCTGTCTCCAGCACTGGGAACTTCCCATCCTGCTGATCTTGCCCTGAATGCATAAAGGCCTTCCCCATCATTTGTACACATGCATTCATTTTCTGAGATGAACGTTCACTGCACCCCCAGGATGCCATCTGGGCAAGCCCTCCCCACCCCTCCCCACCCTCCCCCCTCCAGCCTTCCCCCAGTCTCTGGACGCACCGCCGCTAGTCACCACTGTGTGGCGCTGTGATTCACCTGCTCAGGTGCTTTCACTGCCCACCAGGCAGACAGGGCCCTACCCACTCCAGAGTCTCTGTATACACTTGATGCCACACAGTCCTGGCTCTGGAAAGTCACAGTGGAATAGGCCTTCCCCATAGACGACGGGCAAGTTATTTAACGTCTCTGTGTCTCAGTTACCCCGATTGTAAATCAAGAATGATAATACCCACCAAACAAGCATCATTAGGTAAATGATTGTATACATCAGTTACTTCAAACAATGTCACTCAGTGGTTGCTCAAAAATGTCACCCATGAGGTATACATTTACTTTTATGGGAATGAATATCAACAGTAAGGGTGACAGTAATGTGGATGGTGTATTTCTACACTGAATGGACACAAAGTGAAGGTGTGAGCCGGGGACAAGAGGGTGAAGCCCAGCCTGGCATGTTTCTCACTAGCCCATGTCCCTGGGCAATGCTCTTTGTTTCAGTGGCATTAGCATCCTCATCAGTAAGCTGAAGAAATTGGCTTAAACTCCCTCAGGTCTTTTTTGCTAAGATGCTGTGATTCCTAGTCTCTTGAACAAGCTTCAAGATTCTACGACTTTCAAATACAAACATGAAAAACCAGGAGCCAAATGGAAAAAAAAATTTGAAAGAATAAAAAAATTAAAGCACAAATTTTTACTAAAGAATAAGTCTATTGAAAGCTGGGGGGAGGGGGGAAACAGATCCTGAGTACCTGAATGGACCTTTACCCAGCACAACCACTTCTGATTTGGGGGTCAGCCTGGGCCCGCAGCAGTGGGTTCCTGCTCTTGCTGATACACCTCTGATACCCAGTGGGTGCTTGGCAGGACTCGGAGACCGGCAGGTGCCAGTGGTGGCAGATACCTCCCAATTGTCAAGCCTGTGGCCTTGGGATGACAGCCTGGCTAGCTGGCTGTCCTGAGGGGTCTCCAGTGAGGAATGGGGAAGAGAAATGTTCTAGAACAAGCTCTGGGAGCCAAGTCAAAATGCAGAATCTATCACATCTTTTAAAAGAGGCTGCTAAAGAATTCACTTTGACTCAGGGGTAGGGTGAGGGCAGAGGGCTGTCGGGGATGGAACTAACAAAGGAAGCAAAACAGGTGTCAGGCTGGTTTAAACCTGTAAAATGCATGCCTGTACTTAAGTCCCTCTATAAGCATTCTCTATGCAGGGGTGCATGGCTACTGAGTTGGGCTTCTTGATTCAAAGGAGTTTAGTTCTGCAAGCCAAATGCTCTTCTCGGAGGGACTCCCTCCCACAGGACTCTGCTAAACCTCCCAAGCCTCTTGAGGAAACTGACCTCCAGGGAAGGGGCAGGTGGCTTCTGAGGGACTTGGAGGTAGGCTGTTCCCACAGCACACTGGTGCAAACGGCACTTGGAACTCCAATGTCTTTCCAGAACTCGAGGGAAAACCCTGCTCTCCACTTGTTTTGCTTTCTTTCGTATAAGCTCCAGACACAGACAAACTGAGCTGAGGTTGCCTGGGCTTGTGTTTCACCTTCACCGCCTCTCCAGTCAGGCTCTTTTGCTCTTTTTTGTCCATACCATTTGGCTCCCAGACATGACTCCCTAACAGTGACCACAAGTGACCCCATGATACCATGTCGCCTCTGCTCGTTTGCCCCATAAGTCTATGTGCTCAGCTGGAGAGAACCTCAAGACCATGTTCAGCCAAGGCCAGGGGTGCTGGGCTTGCAGCGGCAGGACACTTGTCCCTCATCTGACATTTCTCTAGTGTAGTACCCTGGGCCAAGACAAGCCAGTCTCCACAGAGGCACCATCGCTGCAGGTGTGAACTGGGTGTCTGGCACATTTCTAGCAAACAACCCAAAGAGGCCGAAACCAATAGGAATGCTTTATTTTATTTGGGGAAGGGGGAGTACAGCCCTTACCCTTTAGCATCCAAATACCAAATCCAAGAATCACTCCTTCTAGTCAAAGATCAAAATGCCATACTTGAGGGGTGTCCTTCTGGGTTCACTTCACAGGACACAGTGATACCCGCCTTCACCACGCCAAGGTTGGCTTCTAAAAACAGCAGCCTCCACAGGAGGAGGGGCTGGAAGTCCTCAGCAAGCTGCATAATAGAAGCCAGCTTGGCCGACCAATAGCAGATCACCTGGCCAAGCCAACTAGAGAGGAATCCGGAGTTGATTGTCAACCAAAGCTTTAGAAGCCTGCTGTAAAGGGCTCCAGAAAGGCCGAGTGGCAAGCACAGAGACTGGAAACGCTCCTAGACACAAATCCCACTGGTTTCTCTCTTCACTCTCCAGAAACCAGGGGCCTTTGAAAAATAACCACCAGCAGGCACTGCCTGGTGCTGGAGACAATTAAAATCTTGGCCTTGATTACCTGGGTGTAGGTTAAAATAACAAGGACAAGAGGGCTAAACTAAACAAGATGGCATTCAGTGAGGGCATTCCTGGCTCACCGGAGAAAAACAGCAGATTAGGGGGGACGGAATGGACTGGCCGGGATGGGTGGGAAAGTTCTTGATGAAACACAACTCTGACATTTTACTCATTTTAAAATTCTTCAGTGAAAATGTGCACTCTCGCTCGCTCGCTCTCACTGTCTCTCTCACACACACATCCAAAACTTCAGTCTGGCATTCAAGACCCTTGGTGACCTGACCCTAATTTATTTTTGCCCACACATCTCCCATCATGCACTGTGCTCAGGACTAATATTAAGCAGGACTGTTTGGAGATCAACGCAGCTTGCTTTCCAGCCATTTCTACTTCCCCAAACTCCCCCAGGTTTCCACAGTGCTGGGCCGTGGAACACACCACTGGGCCCCAGGCACACACCACTGCCGTCACCACGCCTGCAGCAGGAATCGCCACTTCTCTGATAGGTTCCACTCAAGCTTAACGTTTTCTTAAAGACTCTCTTTGATGCCACTTCTCACCCAGGTGGAATCAGGCACCACCCCTCCCCCAATATGCTGTGCACATGTCACTGTTTCTCCATCTGCCTCTCCTCCTTGGTGGCAAGCCCCTGGAAGACCACAGACAGACACAATCCTTCCTGCGCCCTCACAGATGTATAGCTTCTCCATCCCACAGCAAAGATGCAGAGATGATCTGTTTCATACATACATACTTATTATTTGCAAACACAAAATGAGCACAAAAGAGGCAGCCTACCAGCATACAGACAGAAATAACTATACTTGGTGATGGGGAGGCCCTTGGGGACTCGAAGAAGTGAACCCACATAGTAGCTCTTGCTCTGGAATGCCCATGGGAGACTCTGAAAAGCATACAGTTCGAGAAGAGAGTCCAATTCTAATAATTACATTTTTTAAAGCTTTCTCTCGTTTAGTAAAAGCAACAGTCTGTGTAAAGGAATTAAAAACCAGGGCCCTGAGATCTTCCCTTCTATGAGCCACTGGTAACTAAGGCAGGGGAAGAACAGGCGCACACATGTGGGTATGAGCTTGCCTTTCCATCCAGGAGGCAGCCTCTGCCAAAGTTCAGCTAGAAACAGCCTTGCAGATAAACACTTATGTGAGAAACACAGCTAGGGAAGGTCATCCTTTATTTCATCAGTCCACCTTTCAACGATGCGCCTAGCTGTTTTGCTGAAGGGCAAAGGAAGCCAGCCTGCTTGGCACTGAGGACTGGTGACAAAGAGAGCTTGCAAGCATTGATTGACCGTGTAAGAGAGAAGACAGTGAGAAGAAAGGGCATGAGCTACTTACTGCCCCATCATGGACCTCTGTTGCTCAGGAAAAGGGGGGTCGTGACAGCCACACAAGAGGGTTTTGTGTCTATGATTCACCTTCCACCGACACACCCATGTGTCCTCC